TCATGATGTGCTTTTGCTCTTTCTCTTCCATTCAGTTATTGCTCTTCTAGTGCATTGAATGCTGTTAGTGCATACAGTTTCAATATCATAGAGTTCATCAAGTAATCAAGGGAAGAAATATAACAGGAGTCAAGGTAAAACACACAAAGTGGATGAACAAGCAGATGAAACCTCAGGAGAGTCAGGAGAGCTAAATGTGACAATCCAATTTCGTTAAGTGCTGCAGACAATGGCCTCAATGATGTGCTTTTGCTCTTTCTCTTCCATTCAGTTATTGCTCTTCTAGTGCATTGAATGCTGTTAGTGCATACAGTTTCAATATCATAGAGTTCATCAAGTAATCAAGGGAAGAAATATAACAGGAGTCAAGGTAAAACACACAAAGTGGATGAACAAGCAGATGAAACCTCAGGAGAGTCAGGAGAGCTAAATGTGACAATCCAATTTCGTTAAGTGCTGCAGACAATGGCCTCAATGATGTGCTTTTGCTCTTTCTCTTCCATTCAGTTATTGCTCTTCTAGTGCATTGAATGCTGTTAGTGCATACAGTTTCAATATCATAGAGTTCATCAACTATGAGATTTAATCTGTACCCCAGATCAAACTAGTCAGGTGGAGCCTGACCCACCTGACTAAGATCAAACCACTTCTCCTGTAAATTTCCTTCTGTTGCAATGATTTGAAGACAGTCACCCAATAAAGGATCATTTGTGATAAATAAAAAATAATTATTATGTATTAGTTTTTTTATTCATTTGCTGCATACCTATAGAATGTAATGGATTGCTTCATGGGATTGCTGATTCTGATTGTTGATATATCAGGTATTGTACTTGTACAAGATTGTGTTATATCAGTTCATCACAAGAAGGCTGGTTGTAATAATTAATTATACAAATTATTATTGTTGAAAATTAGCTACACTATAATTATACTGGTTCTAACAGCATGCACAAGCCTAATGTAATCAGAAAAATTGAACAAAGTCATATAAGTTCAAAATGTTAAATCTTAAGTTCAAAACCGAACTTAGCCTTGATAGCCTTCACCCATTCCTCTCTTAATTTTGCAGCTTTTTTGGCAGGGGCTCCCCCGACTCGTTCTAGAGCTGACAGAAACTTCTTGCAATGATCCTCAACTTTGGTCAACGTTGAGAAGCAGCTAAGACTTGCTTCAAATTCACTAATTATACTGTTGTATGTTGGTTTGTTATTGACTCCACGACTAATGATCTTTTCTGCGTACATTTCATCAGCAACTGGCCTAAGGTTGTCCTCTGACATGCTAGTGATGTTAGCATACTGAGAAATGACGACTTCTTTTATTTCTTTAATAACTTTCTTTACGTCAGCACTCTCTCCTACAGAAAAATTAAGCTATAGCACTCAATGTAATTATTGCATATTTAATGTTAATTATGCAGAAGATTGTACACTAACGTTTTGATCCTTCTTTACCATCACTACCTCCTTTCCCTGTTTTTTCCTCTGGTCTATTAATACCTATAAATGCAGTACAGTTATATGCTTTGCTACTGCAAGCTTTGTTACTAGTAGTAATTGATATTATTAGTGTAATGGTATTCATGTGTACATATCATGAATATTTATCAACCCACACAATATGACGTGCAGTAGTTATCAACGAGTCATGAATGATACACAATGACAATGCAAATATTATCATATCCACCATTAATGCTTCTTCCTTGATTTTAAAGGCTATATGAAGCATTCTTCTTTTTGAAACTGTATCACATCTGTCCTTTCATTACTAGATAGTAGCAAATTGCTTGTATCAAAGTTTTGCCAAATAATTCAATAGGTCTATGATCATGCAACAGTATATACAGTGTCCTCCATTTATGGATGCTGTCAATATCTTTAGACAATATACTAGTAGCTACACACACACACACATGGCTAGATATATAGGAGACTTACTGGCCATTGAGCTTTGGGACTCTCTTTCTTGTTTCAGAGCTGTAGTGCTTGTGGGAGTGTCTTTTGTTGATATGTATACGTCAGGATTGCATCATTTACCATTTACCATACATGTACGTGCTTAGTCATGCCATAATGTCATGAATTTTTCTGTTTAAAAATTTGACAACATATACACATGAAAATAACTTGACATTTTATTACATTGAAATATTAAATGAGTAGTTACAGTCTTTCTGAACAGCATCGATGAGATCATCTTTAAGAGCAGCTCCAGCAACATGATAACTACCACCCACAGATGACATTGACTCAAGAAGTTTAGTACAAGAACTTTCAAACTCTTGCACTGTCCTTGTAAAGCCAAGAGAAGCCTTGAACTCTCCCAATATCTTATCAATGGTTGGATCACTGCACACTGAATCACTGATGACCTTCTTTGAGAATAGAGAATAGGCAAAATCCTTAACAGATGCAGCAGGTAGCCTGTTGAGTGATCCATACCAAGTGTTGATCACATTCTCAATTGCTTTCCTAAGCTTTGTAATATCAACTGCCTGTGCTTTTGTCTTAGGATGTGACACTATAAAGAATGGAATATAACTAATGTTTCTTTTAAAGGAAGATTTGTTTGTGTACTATAAATACTTCTTTATAAAAACACACACAATCATAACGGATTGTAATAACAACACTTAATAATCATGAATAATAATAATGTGTACTTCATTGTAGTTATATCTAGTTGTATACCGTACCTCCTCCTCCTCCTCCTGAGGCACCAGTTGATCCAGTCCCAATTCTTGATCCTTTAAAGAATATTAAAATAAATATCAGACACTACAATACTTACTTATGTCCGCCACAATTTCTTTTAACTTTTCATCTTCAAGCTTCAGTAGTATCTTACAAATCACCTCCAGCCTCTCCTCTCCATTCTTACAGTTACTGATTCCTCTCATCAGTTCTCTTGTCATTTTTGATGCCTTTTGACCAGCAGGTCCATTAGTAGTAGTTATATCATCAAACAGTTGTGATGGGATCAGTGAAGCACCCAAGAACTCATCCAATGCTTTATCTAGTCGTGCAGCAATTGAACTGTTGATGTCAGCAAAATGTGACCTAAAGAGTTCATCTGGACCTGTTATTGATAAGAGAGAGGGAGAGAGAGATCATATTATACTTCTGTATATACAGTGAAGGATTGTTTATTAATACCACTCATCACTGATAGGCTTAAGGGGGCCACCATCATTTCTTTCTATAGCATATAAACTTACTTGTTGACATCTTGTAAGCCAAGGGTGTGGGCTGTTGCAGTTGGAATTTGCTGTGTAGTCATATGTCATAATGATGCAATGTCCATGTACTGGTATTCATGTACAATGTCATTCATTCTTTTGACATATACGGTCTATGTATATCCATATACCTTTTCCTTATATAGAGTTGTTGTTTGTCATTGATAGTTTAGATAATAGTTATTACTCTTTAACTAATACATGATTCAAAAACAGCAAAAATAAAAGTATTAAACATTACTGTGTTTCTTAATAGCATTAGGTATTCTATCAGCAGCTGCATTGTCTCCAGTACTCCTAACTGCTTTTATCAGTGTCGGCCATGTTGTATCCTTAACTTTATCCACTTTATTAAGCCACTGTTGTAGAGTTTTTCTCAAATGTTCTGTACAATCACCTTTCTCTCTTTCAATAGCATTCAGTCTGTTGATGTAGATGGGCCTAGAGCTAGTCCAAGCTGTTCCCAGTGAACTGGTCCAAACATTGCTTCTCCAAGTACTGTCTCCACTAGTACTAAATCTTGTATAGCTATAAGATTGGATATACATGAAATGAATGTAATGAAATGTAAATGTAGTTCTGAATGAAATGGAATGTAGTTCTGTAAATCCATTGGGCAATAAAGCCATACATACATTCATTATTGCCCAAATTTTGTGACAATGAGATCATGTGTCATGAATACATGACTAATTTTGCTGACAGTATCATTAGTAAGTATCATTGAACAGATAGTGCCGAAATTTTTATTTAGCTACTCTATTAAAATTACCAATAGTGTAAATCAAGGTGCAAACCCATCAACAATTAATGACTATGATGAGTGAAGTGAGCAAAATCCACTGATCCGAATGACAGGCTGGGACCATGTACCATTCCTTAGTGACTGGGGAATGGTCTGGCTAGCGAAACTAGTCACTGACTGCTACAAAAGTACAGCCTAAACTGATTTAGCTCTCCTACACACTTCATAGCTAATGCTGAATTGAACTGAGATGATAAAACACATCGAGGTTTCCTTTATAGTCTGTTGTAGGGCTTCAATTTTGCTTTAGTTAAAAAAGTTCAAGTTAAAGTTATCTGTTAATTTAGACTTTTATTATAAAG